TGATGGTTACGATGGCCGAGTACAAGAGCGTCATTGAAACTAAATGAATCGTATATTTTTCAATAATAATCGTTTGCATTTATTACAATATACAAAGCAAATTAGGTGTGTAATAATGTCCAATGATTTCGAGGCTGAATGACCGCACGCGCTTCCTTTGGAAAATATTCGAAGGTTCCCGTGGTTGCATAAATAAAAATCGTTATATTCTGTGGCGAGACGTGTCGACGTAATATGGATTTTTTGCGCCGTGTCTCTCGCAAGTATAATTATTACGCGCTCGCGAGTACGATTGCGAACGCGGACAATTGCAAAATGTCAGCGGAGAGTATTTAATTAACCTAGAACATCGCCGTTCTGAATATTTCGATTCACAATTAAGACCAACAGTCCTATTTTCGATTCCAGAATGCGCGCATCGCCACTTACGGAGACCACGGCTTACGCACCCAATCATTACCGAACTGCCTATTTCTGCTTATTGAGTGCTGGTTAAATGATAAATTTCGTCTTATCGGAATCATATTCTTTCCGTTACATTCGATACGCATACGTAATGTATGGTTTTGTTTTACGGAATCTTAATTTATTGATCTATGGATTGTAAAAGCTGTGGACGGACGTGCACACGACTGTTAAAAAATTGACGAGTTTTTGAAAAACCAGGATGTATCAAAGGAGCGTGTAACGAAGTTACGGTATTCGTAAATTATACGGCAAACGTAACCCCGTATAATTGTAACATATCAGTGCGGTATTTCGTTTTCCACTTTACCCAATCGCTTAGAAGACAAAACCAAAACGATTAAAAAAAAACCAACAACGACAGAAAATGACGAAGAAAAAAAAAGGTGAAAAAGAAAAAACAAAACAAGCAAAAAAGAAACGCTTAGAATAACGCTTAGATCGCACAAATTTATACAATTTTAATCACGAAGTTCGTCATATAATTGACAAATAACGATGATCTAACTAGCTAGTTTAGTCATTCCGTCTACGTAATTGCTGATGACTGAAGAAAAGTTAAATATGTATTATTCATAAATTACCTATTACCTTACTCTATTGTCAATTGACGCGAAAAATTTTGAGATTAAATTATCAATATCACAAACAATGGATCGAGCAGCACCTCGCGTTCCGGTAAAGCGAATCGATCGTATCCAAAACAAATACCAATAGCGCGTAGTGCCGTAACGGAGTACCAATGCACTTGTGCCAAATAAAGCCCCGTAAAAAGTCCGTTTCACTCTAGGCCTCGAAAATAGCTCGACGTATCGCGAGCAAAATCTCTGGACGGGAATCCGTACTAGCGAGACGGCGCATCCAACTACTAGTCGGGAGAAGAGTATATGCGGGCAGCGACCTCGTAACTCCTCCTTGGCCCTCTCCACATGAAGAAGGCGAGCGAGCGAGCAAGCAAGCTGCCGCGAGAGGCAGATAGACAGATAAATAGATAGATAGATAGATAGATAGAGCGAGCGACCGCGAGGGGTACGTGGTAGGTGGACAACGGGCGGGACGGTGGGATGTTGCGAAGAGGGAAGCGCGATGCGACGAAGCTTGTCGCGGCTCTGGCGTGTTGTGTATATTCTTATTAGTCATCGTGGCTAAGCTCACGAGATGGAGACTGACCATTGTTAAAACACCCTTTTTCTCTTTTGTGCTTCCTGCAGGACCTTTCACCGAGACGACGGCACCTTGACCCCCCCCCCATCACACTTCACCTAGGCAGCATCCGTCGATCCACGAGGATCACGGGATCTCCAGCCGTCCAGAGTGGATATCGGCGCACGGTGATCTCCCGGCAACTCTCGTGCTACGCCGGGGAACCCGCTCATCGAGGAAGCCCCGACTCGTCCAATGAGCTTCGATAATTCATCATCGGCTCGTATCGACCAGCATTTCTCTGCTCACGGAATCGCATGCCCAAATTGTCGGGAAGTGTCCGTGTAGGCCAGGTGATAAAAGTGCGAGCATCCGTAAGTTCAGTGAGGGCCAGGTTGTATAATTTCGTGCGATCATCACGAGCGAGGGAATAGCCCAAGAGACAATTGTGCGGTGTGCGCGACGACATCGAACGTATCATCGATAACAATTCAGCGTCCCGAGTGTCACGCCAATATGAGAGTGTCGACGCGACAACAGCATCCGCTGCATCTCCAAGTGACGCGCACGAACAATGGCAAGTTCCTCGTCAGTCCGAATGCCAGTCCGGATCCGCACCAAAGCCAGCATCACCACCACCACCACCACCATCACCACCACCACCATCAGCCGTCGAGCAATCACCAGACGCTCCAAAATCATCATCATCATCAGCAATTGCCGAGCGACGACGTCGTCTCGCCCGTGGCACCGGTGACCTTTCCCAATTGCGAGCCTCCGAATCCCACGGCAGCCGATCATCACGGCCCGACGATACTGGGCGATCGGTTTCTCCTGAGTGGCGCACATTGTTCAGGTGTGTCGACGTTCAGACCGGCCAGCAGCTCGTCGCCAAGGTGAGTAATGTGCGTGCATACGGGACTGTGACCCCACTCCACCCCACCCCCAACCCTCTCACGAAACATAGTCTTTTGTCAATTCCAGTGTTGATCAATTTCCTTAAACAGATTTGCGCCCTCCTCTACTATGTGGACAATATTGTATTTGACGATAAATATGCCCCACCCTAGGTGATGACCATACGGGGCGTCGGCGACGCTTTACCCTTTTCAACAGAATTTTGATTGGAATACCCCCCCCCCCCCCCCCCCCCCCCCCCCCCCCCCCCCCCGTCCCGGCCATACCCACAAAAAACGAGATAAGTCTCTTCCTACTGCAAAAACGTGGCTCCCTCTTCACCTCCCATTCTCTCTACCTTCTCCGCACACCCCCCCCCCCCCCCCCCATCCCTCCCTCCCTCCGCCCTACGCTCCCCTTCACCGCCTCTCAATACCCCCGCCCCACCATCACCCTCACCCGTTACCCCGGAATCAACCCCGAACGTGATCCGTGACTCAATATCTTCCTCGATGCCTTTGCTTGAATTCACGCTGTAATTTCAAAGTGCGAGTCGCTTGTAAAAGCTTTCTGGTAGCTTTAACGCCGTTACGATCGAGGGGGGAATCTCATTGTATTTGCTATTTTAATTAATTAAAAGCACGCGTTTATCCCTCCAATATACATTTACTATACAAGCTCAAAGGAGCGTATATAAATTGACTATTTTATTTAATGATGTTATCTCGTAAGATTTCGCTCTTGTTCAATGATCAAAGAAACATCCCTTCATTTGCATAAATACAATTCGAGTATCCCGGTCCTTTTATCCAGAGGATCGTCGACCGAAAACAAAAACTTATAAATCTCTATTGATACTGATTAACAACTACTTGGTCGTTGATGTTTGCGATATAATACGAAATAATCTATCTCCCCCGGGATATGCGGAAAAATAAATAATTAAATAAATAATTAAATAAATAAATAAATAAATAAATGAATTAATGAAAAATTTCACTTGACTATTAAATATTTTTTCCCATTAAAATCCAAGCTCGTTTAATAATCTCAGCCCCACGCTGTAATCAGACTATGCATTATATTATTAACGTTATTATTATCAATTCTTGAAATTCATTATTCCTCGATAATACACGAGCTCCCAAAGTATTCACCACAAGTGATAAAGTCGAGATTTTCCTTTATTGACTATTTCAAACGTGTCATGATGCTTAATCGTAAATCTCACTCCCCAATCGTCAGGCTCGTTTGATATATCTTTTAACGGCCTATCAAGCGATACATCTTTTAATGGGCTGTCATCTCGATGTAGCCAGCACCTCCTCCCACCTCCCCCTCCCAATACCCCCTCCCCAGCCACTCCTGCCATTGTCATCCGTAGAAAAGTACAAAACCTGCGTGCATTATTTCATTTCACCGATTTTAAAAACGATTTTCCGCAAAAACAAAGGGTTCATTCCAGTCGAGCGAAAGAATAGGTAATCGTAATGATAAAGAATAATAAAATAAGGGCGTCCGTCCGGGCTTTATCTATCGGCGGAATTCGCTGGTAACGATATACGCCCGAGTATGCAAATGCTGGTGGAGATCGCGAGCGAGCGTTTTATTTAAAAATGAAACCGGTCGCGGCGCGACTCGTCGTCGCCAAGGTAACGAATTCGATTCGATTGGAGCGGTGTGGAGCGCGAGGGCAATGGGAGGAGAGAAGGGCGAGAAAAAAAAGAGAAAAGGAGCGAGATGAATGGCAAAGAGAGATGAAGGGCCAAGGCTAAGGGACGCGCGATAAATCTCTTCTAGCTCGGTATTATACGCATCCTTGATGTTTCACGTGCGTGTGCATGCGTGCGCGCGCACGCTCGGCGCATGCAAGCTAGCCACTCCGTCCTCTTCTACCTTTTGTTCTTTACGCATAGGCATTCTTAGGAGAATCGATACACCAAGCATTTTGTGGAAGTAAAGATGCCTCGCTTTATACGCCATTTTCGTATTATCATTATTAATTTGAAGCTCTCGTCGAATGGGGGGGGGGGAGCAAGCAGTTCTTTCTTTTTTTCTTTTTTTCTTTTTTCCTTTTTTTTTTTCATTACTATTGTTTGAGATGATGGGTCACAAGGGAGATCCCATGTCGCATTACCATTAATAAACAGCGACTCGAATCTATGTCACATTGCGCGCGTGCATCATTCATTCGGTACGTGTGCCCATTTCGTACGTTTTTCGCACACTGCGCGAGAAGTAAAGTAGCGGCCAAGTAAAAACGGAGCTTTCCTACGTAAAGAAAGGTTCCGCAGTATTTATCATCGGCATGATTCACCTATTCGGATCGGAGAAATCAGCCAGGGAAAGTTTTCTAAACCCTGTGAATTCGTAAATAGGGGTGGCGATGGGTGACGCTGACTGTGACTGTGACGGTGACGGTGTCGGCGGCGGCGGCCATGGCGTCTGACGCGATACGTAATGCGTCACGTATGCATGAAGATGATGGTGTGGGTTTGCCCTCGGGGCCGCCTGGATTGCACTTTATTGACACGGAGGCCATGAAGTGGAACCGAGGCTTTATCCGTTTGCTCGTCGATGCGCTCACCTAGGGCGAACTGGTGGGGTGGAGCAGAACGGGTAAAGGCCAGATAGAACTCTAGCAATTCCGCACCACACGCACGCACACAACAATGGACCTTTTTCCCCCTTGCTGATCAATTTGCGACGAACAATACTTACGAATACGAAGCTGGCAAGCACGCGCGCGTGCGCAGGTGTCTCTCTTCCCTCCGGCAAGCCACTCGCGATGCGCGCCTTTAGAACTTGTAGAAAGATAATTGGACGCAAGAAGCCATTTAAGGTAAACGTGCTTTCCCATGATTTTTTACTCTTTAACACTAGCCTCTAAGAGAGAGAGAGAGAGAGAGAGAGAGAGAGCGAGAGAGCGCGAGAGAGCGAGAGGGGGAAGAGAAGAAAAGAAACTTGCGAGCGCTTGTGGTTGCAACGCCGGCAACGAGGAGTCGAGGATTGCCGAAAACGCCCACTCAACAACGCGCCAAAGAGCTTTTCACACGTGTGTGCGTACGGCCACGAAATCCTTGCGCCATGCAAATTCTTTCGCCAGCGACCGTCGCTGCTGGGCTTACGTTACGTGGTGGTGGATGCTTGCGAAACTTTTGCGGCCCTGAAGTCAAAAAGTCGGCGAGCGAGCGAACAAGCGACGGGCGGACATTTATTGCTTCCCCTCCTGTAGCACCGTCCGTCCACTTCCCGTTTAATTATAGATTCCCGGCGATTCTATATATTCGGCCCGGCGGCATTTCATCGATCCAAGGAAATAAGATCGATTCTACTTTACGAAAGTCCTCGTCGGCTCTCATAAAACACCTCCTCTTTTATTTTCGTTTCCTTTATTTATACGAGAGGCCGATACTACGTAGTTGCCGTGGCTCTTGTAACTATTTGGGTAACGATAGTTTAATTAAAATTTCCATTAGTTATACCAATCGCTCCCACAATTAATGCACGGTATTTGAAATTCAAATATCGGGACGTTTCGCGCCTATTGCGATGCGACTACTCAATGTTTCGAGAGAAACACGGACTGCAGTAACGATTCGCTTTTAATAAGCCAATAAGCAAAATTAAAATATCGTTACGGGGTTTCGTCACCTACGCTCGGGATAAAAATGGCGTTGCTTTTGGTGGAACGTTGTCTACTTCATCGCCCGATAACCTGTAATGTTTCAACGGGCGCGCCTTTATATCTCCCGCCCGCGCTTCACCCCCCTGACTTAATAAACCCCTTCCCTCGCTCATTGTTACAGTGCGT